GCGTCTGTTGGCTCTCATTTACTCTAGCAAGGATTAAAATAGATCATCATCAGATTAGCAAATATCAGAATATCAGATGTCCAAAAGAGGAGAGCTTGACTTTTTCCTGCAAGTGTTTTTCACCAAAACCTCCTACGAACAAAGTGCTGATTCTAGACATGTAACTTTTATGGTTGATTAGGACATTAAGCAAGGGAGCAGCCCGGTGGGCATGGGGATTTACAGTGGATGCCACAGAGCTCATCACAGCAAGGACAGCTTTTAATAGGAAAAAGAAGGAAAAAATCTGGGTGCTGTTTCCACCCCTGCATGAGGAGAGTTCCAAAAGGCCAGCTAATAGTCCACCCGTGGTCACTCATGCACACCGCTGGCACCAACCTGGCACTGGTCCTACAGACTCAGCAGCAAGACCAAAAATGAACACAAATGCTGCGGGAGCTTCCGTGCCTGTCTCTCTCTCCATCAGTGTATCAGGCCTGGGGAAAACAGAGACAGCATCAGGCTTCACGTGGGATTTCTCAGCAGGGCTCCTCTCCCATCTCAGATCTGAGAGACTGCGGTGATTTGTATCTTTGAATATGTTTTCAGTTCATTTTCCTTTTAATGATGCTGAAGAAAAGGGTGTCAACACAAAGGAAGATGTATCTGTCACTCTGCACTGCTCTGGTTTCTAGCAGCAGGCAGGCTGCTGCTTGGAGCTGGCTAGAAAAAATGCTGTGGTTGGTTTCGTGGTTGGTGTTCTGAGAAAGGAAACAAATGCCAGCACTGATAACTGATTGACTCAGACCATACAAAGCCGTAAAGAAAAAAATGTGTCCAGAGATCTTCCTGCAGCGTGCCTCCTCTTGCATGGCCATACCCTGTGTCCCAGGGACCTCGGTGGCTTGGAGCTGGACATGAGCACCATCTCCCCTCCTTAGAGGTCCTTGTGGGAGACTGGCTGCAGTATCCCGTGGGAAACGTCCATCGGTGGAACACAGCTCATAAAGCATGTTCTAGGCAAGAGGTACCCAGCTTCAGCCTCCAAGAGTCACAGAATGGCTGAGGCTGAAGAGAACACGTAGTCCAGCCCACGCTCAGAGCCACGTCCAGTTGGATTTTGAGTATCTCCAAGGATGGAGACCCTGCGACCTCTCTGAGCAACCTGTGCCAGTGCTTGGTCATCCCCACAGTAGAGAAGTCATTCATGATGGCAACACTTCCAAACAAAACAACTAGTAATTATTAACCTCTTCAGATTTTATCTTTTTTTTTTTTTTTAAGGAAAAAGAAAATGCAATTATTTTCATAAAAAGAAACCATTTTTTTAAATGTGTTCCCTCAAGAAACTCTCCACATGGACACTTCGGGAATAATCCCACTACTTCTGCCTTCATACCAGAGCAGCACCTGCCTGTGAACTGCACTGCACTGTTGACAGAAGGGTTGGTGATACGGTCAACCATTATTAACGTTATTTATTTAGCACCTGGCAAACGCAATCAGGCTCTTTGTGCTAGGCGCTGCCCAAACAAGCTGGAAGGAAGACAACCTGTTCCCAAAGAAGTTGTTATTTACCTGTTAAACAGTAGGCTGCAAAGAAATGGGTGGAGGGAAGCAAGGACACCGAAGCTTTTTTGTTAATTTCTGAACTTTAGCATCATTGCTTCCCTCATTGCAGCTGTACATGGGAGAAGAATGAGATCCTGGCCGTGCTACCCAACAGCGTTAGCCGGTCAAGTGGATGGAGATGTCCTGTAGGTGTGACCTTTTCTGGAGACATATGAAATCACTCTAGTGCCTGCTGGGCACTGTATTCATTTTTTAAAAGCTGCAGTACAAGTGCACTTAACAATTAATACATATTTTAGAAGGACACAATTTTTAAAAAGCCTAAGAAATAGTAATTTAGATTTTTCAATTGTATTTTTTCATCAGGAAATTAGCTCAAGAGAAAAAGAAGTAAACACACAGTTATTTCTTCTCTTGGAAAAATGCCTTTCCATTGAAAGGTCATATTTTCAAGTCTGTGAACAAGAGCAGTAGAGGATTGCTTTTCCTGTATTCCCTCCCAAGTAGAGGAAGAAAGGAAGAAAAATTGTGGTTTCACCAGGGGAAGAAAATGTGGAGTTTAAGGGGGCAGGTGTCAGACTTTTGAAGGGTGTCCAGGACTTTTGGGACAGTCCAGCACTTGCCCTTCCAAATGTCTCCTGAGAAGAACACCTGGGAAAATTAAGAAGGGGGATGAGGTGTCAGAGTCAAGCACATAGCACATGGAAATCATGCCTTTGGAGATTTTAAAGGAAAGGTAAGAAAATAAATGAGGAGGGCACGCCTCATACCCCACCCTTGAAGCAAAGCGTGGAGCTCTGGAGACTCATTCCAGCTGCACATTTCTGCCATTTCTGTGACACTCTTTGCTCGTATGCTCAAACTGAGCATTTTGCCGTGCCATGTCTCAGAGTCCACTTTGGTCAGAACCATCCCACATGTCTCTGGGCATGGTCTTTGTCTATGGTTTTCCACCTAGCTCAGGTCACTTGGCCATGAAGCTTTGCCAGAGGGTGCAAAGCTGCTCCTGAAGGAGAACTACTCTCACAACATGCCCATCTCCTTCCTCTTTCATTGAAACTGCTTTTCCTTTAACTTCAAAGAGTCAGCAAAATATGTTAGATTATGATTGCCAGGTGGCATGACCACATATGTTACAACTACAAGTTTCCTGAAACTGGGAAAAGAGATTAATGTTCATAAACTGAAGCCAATTAGAAGAAAGCATCAACAGTTTTCAATACATTTGTTTGGTTTATTTCTTTTCTTTTTCTTCTTATCATCCGTACCTGATTTGAGAGAGATTTATATGTATTTACCCAGTTTTGGTGGGGTTTTTAAAATGTTTTTATGCTGTAGTCATGAGCAGTTTGAGGTTCTGGTGCAGCAAGGAGTTGGTGGTGTGCTTGCAGCTTGTTACATGACATTTTCCTGTACCCTGGCCTTTTCCACCCAGTTGGACAATATCCCATTTTGGAGTGACAAAATACTTCTTGCAAGGTGAAGCAAAGGAGACTTGAACGGGTCTCTCAGGCCTCACAAAGGCAAAACTCCCATTAATGGCAAGGAAGAAACTGCTTTGCTTGAGCAAAATCTCAGTGCTAAGGTCACTGGTGCCAACTTTTGCTTCTGGCCAGGCGGGCGTCTTGGAGGGCTGTGGTGGAGATGTTGCCTCCCCGCTCCCTGGCATCCCGAGCAGTGCCAGCCCACCCTTGCAGCTGGGTGTGCTCCACTTGAAATGCTCAGCATTGCCCTTTGCCCAACACCTCCCAGACCACGCGCTGGCCAGAGCCCAGTGTAGGGCCTCGCAAGGTAAAGCAGCCAGCAGCAGCCATGCTGCTTGCTGCAGGCAGAAGGCGCCATCTCACGCACTGAGGACTTGGAGCCGTGGAGGTTTCTCGCATGGTTTGGAAGCAGGTGCTGGTACATGGGCATGTAAATCCAGCCTCAGCATTGAAGATGTCTGCTCCCACAAGGAGCATCCGGGAATTTCTTATAGACTTGGTTGCAACACAGCTGCTGTGTTTGGCTTGGATTGCAGATGCAGGCAACAGTGGAGAAACCAGGCCGGGGTGGAGGGCAGCATCTCGTTCCTTCCCGAGGAGGAGAGGCCGGGCTGAGCGTGCAGCTGTTGCTTTGGCACAGGCACCATTTAGGTCTCTCTCTGATGCTCTGTGTGTGCAGACCATATGTTACATCCCAACTTTCTCTCTCCTGTTTACTTCTATCTATTTTCTCATGTGCCACCAGCCCTGAAGCTCTTTTTTCTCTTCCAGTCTCTCTTGGCCAGCAGACCGTAATTCCTAGGGCATCTTCAGTGGAGGCGCGGAGCAGTAAAAGCCCAAGCCCTGGGGTGATGCTGGAAGCTGATCCTCCAGCAAAGCCTGGAGAAGCCTTGCTTTTCAAGTGAGCACTCAAAGTGTCCTCTGAAACACAAAACCATTTACCAGGTTACGACACAGTTGTTCCCTTGACCCACATAGTAAAGCACATGTACATTTGTAGTGTAGGGGAGGCACCCAGTTTTATGACAGGTTTACATAGTGTCTTTTACTGCACTTCTGGATGACAGCAGTCAGCCGCAGGTCAGGGCTCCGCAGGTTGTGGCCTGATGAAGAAAAACTCAGAGAAAAACTGGCCAGCGGAGGTTCCCTCTCTCAAAAGCAGAAAGCACCAAATAGCAGGAAATGATTTCAGTCCAAGTAGCTTCTCTCCATCAACACATAGCCGAAAAGCACTTTGATTTTTTTCCTACTATCCACATTCCTGTTTCTCTGCCAGGTGATTCCTGCCACCTTTTCTGAGCTTTTCTGCTTGCTGGTATTTTTGCTAGCTAGCATGAATGCTGAAAAGTTCCCGTAGCGCAGCTCCCTAGCTTAAAACTATATGATTTTTATATTCCACTGGAATACATGGTGTAAAACAATATCCACAGAAATGAAAGCACCCTCAAAATCAACTTTTACCTACATACAAAGAAAAAGGGGTCTATTGGAGATTGTAATAACCATATAAATCATTTTGCCCAGTCTGATATAAAGGTGGCTTCAGTAATATCTTGCAACAGTCTCCAGCCCATTCCAGCAAGATTTAATTTATTCCATACTGCAGTTAGTGTTTTCTTTGGAACTGCAATGTTCTTCTCAGAAATATGTTCACCCTCCAGCTCATATTTACTAAGTAGATGTCAACTAGGCCTGGGTTCATCAATGTTTACAAGGCCAGTGTTACGGTGATTTAACCAGAAAACAACAAAAAACTATACACAAACCAGAGCGATTCTTGCTGGCAGTTTAAAAATGCTTGCACAGGGTCATGGGGTGTTTGTCTCAGATTCAGAGATGTCGCTTGTGTCTGACTCAGACTCTCTCATCTTTCAGTAAAACTGTACTGTAGGAGAACAAAAAAGAACTTGATTTTTTTGGTGTTCTTTCCAAGCAGCTCCAAGACCCAGAGAAATAGCTCTCAGGATGCCAGAGCCAGCGAAGTCCACCTCTGCCCCCAAAAAGGGCTCCAAGAAAGCTGTGACAAAGACTCAGAAGAAGGGCGATAAGAAGCGGCACAAGAGCAGGAAAGAGAGCTACTCCATCTACGTCTACAAGGTGCTGAAGCAGGTCCACCCCGACACCGGCATCTCCTCCAAGGCCATGGGCATCATGAACTCCTTCGTCAACGACATCTTTGAGCGCATTGCTGGAGAAGCCTCCCGCCTGGCCCATTACAACAAGCGTTCCACCATCACTTCCCGGGAAATTCAGACCGCTGTGCGCCTGCTGCTCCCGGGAGAACTGGCCAAGCACGCCGTCTCGGAGGGCACCAAAGCTGTCACCAAGTACACGAGCTCCAAGTAGCCGGACACCACCTCTCCAACGGGACCATCAAGCACCGAACCCTCCGCACAAGCACAGGTAGGCAGCCACAGTCCGGATAAACGTCACAGCTATTATCCACAGCAATTTACAGCCTTGGGATGGGCATGAGAAGCTGTCTGGTGGAAGAGGAGACAGTGATCTGGATGTCGGCTGATCTTCATAGTCTGTTCAGGACATGCGACAGGTTCTGCAGGGCTGGTGGAGGAGGCCTCTGCTTTCACATCTCATCCGAAGGACTGACCGACTGCAGTATATCCAAACTCTCCTCTGCGCTTGGCAATGTTTGGCGCTGGTGGGGGAGACTGGCAGCGGCAACACAGAGACGCCATCTCTGAAGTCTTCCTGTTTGGCTGCTTTCTCACAGTCATCCAAGACGGGCAACGAGGAGTCAGCACTGGTGTCCTCTCCCTCATAGCCCGTATCCGTCCTGGTGTATGGCGCCACAGCCCACCCCGTGCCAGCAGAAGTGGCATCGACAGCTACGAGGCAGGGGCTGTAGAATAAAATCCATATTGATACAACAACTGTCTGTGCATGACAGCCTGTTTTAAAGAGCAAGCCTGGCAGGCAGATGTCCAGGATGATACCAGGCGCTATTCCTCCTCGTTGCTCCTGATGGATGAGCCATCGAGCAGGCTGAGGGTCCCAGCGCCGGAGCTGCCCACTGCCTCCCACCTGGTGCCAAGGCAGATGGACGGACGGACAAGGGGGGATACTGGGGCTAGGTCACTACCTTGCCCGGCTGCTGCTTTGCCTGCTTTAGGACTTGCTTTGGTGTTCAAGCTGTTGCTAATTCTGCTGCTTTTCAGAGACTTTTCCAGCCTCAACGCTGCCTGGGCGCTCCCTTCCATCGTAAGCGTGGGCGAGACGGGGTGGTGCCCAGGGGGTCCCCTCTCCTGCAAGTGCCAGGGTGGTGCAGGACAAACAGCACAGAGGTGTCGGGAGGGGACTGAGGATTTGGGAAGGCATCTGGCATGGGAGCAGAGGTGGTTAATGCAGTCTGGGGGAGAAGCAGGCTCCCCGCAGAGATCGCTCCAGGCAGCTCACCTGGCCCTGCCTTCGCTGCTTTATTCACCTGTTAGAAAGCAAAAGCAAGAACTGGATCTGAGTGGATCTGTAGGGACACTTGCCTTCATCCCAGAGATATTTTAAAGATTAAATAATTTTAAACTACTTCAGATACTCCCCACATCTTCTCAAAGTCCACAGTAAGGTGAGCAATAATAAAATCCTGATTAAAGCCATAAAAATTAGTGGAAGGATGTCTCGGTTACAGGTTTATCTTGCCCGAACTGCTGGATAGCTGAAGAAGAGCATGTGTAGAACTGGTGTGAAGTTGAAGCTTCCTACTCAAAACGCAAAATTAGCCAACATTTAAAAAAAGATCAAAATCTCTGGTAGGCAGTAGTGCTCAGATAAAAAATATTCATGTCTTTAAAATAACAGCTTATTCTGTAAATAAAAAGGGCAGCAAAGACAGGATCCAGAGCTAAGTGCAGGTTCTCCCCAAATTGCAAGACCTTGTTTTTAATGAAAAGGTAAATTCATACCCCAAAATAGGAGCCTTGTAGTACATCTCTCGCTTTCCCCTAGGTTTATCTCTATCATTTTTCTTTGCACTTTGAGAGTGTGGGGACCCTTGATAAATTCATGTTGCTTTTGGAGCTACATGTAGGACTCTGCAGCTCCAGAAGATCCAGTTATTTCTTGGTTTTTTTAACAGTGTTGCAGTCATTTTCCAGTTGGTCTGAGGACTTAGACCTACTCAGCCAAGAGCAGCTCAGACACCCGAGGGCAGTGCGGGGTCCCTGTGCAAGAGCGAAGGACAAGCGACAGTTGCTTACAGGCTGCTCCCATCCTCCTGCTGCAGCTTGGAATTTGAACACCCCCCACCCAAAAAGGGGCTTTCCTACCCTATTTTGCTCAGTGATAGCACACTCCAGCCACATTTCATACCGCAATGCCAG